TACTGTACATTGAACATCCGAACTTGTCTAACTGTAAATTAGTATCCATTTATCGTGGGGCTCAGGTCCACCTCCTAGCTGTTCAGAAGCCAATACTTGAGACCCAAGAATTGGTGGGAAGCAAGTCGGTTTTAGTCAAGGGCTGGCATCTTTGGACAGGGGTGAAGGGACTGTTGTTCCCCAAAAGGCCATCTTGGGAGGTTCAGATACCTGAAGGGGATCTTATAGGGAGGCAGAGAGGCTTAGGGAGCAGTGGACAAGAAGATGGCCCACCGGGCGACATGCTGGGCAGGTGTCATGGCGGCCTGTCTCCCTCGCTCTTCCCCTCTTCTCTTGGTCCCTGTCCCCGCTGCGTCTGTCTCTTTCTCCGTCTCTGTCCTGCCTGGAGTACTGCCGGGGACTTGGACTTCCTGGGGCTAAGTCCGCTCGTTCTTTAGATGGACCTGTTGCTTTCCTGTAAGTGAACCCTCAGGGCGGTGTGCGTGCTTTCTGTTAGGTAACACACAGAAGTAATGAGGAGGGGCCTTGCATATTCCGATGTAATCTGAAGACCACCAGGTGTTCTGGGTTTATACATCTACAGAAAGGTCTTTTATCAGTTAATGACCTAATCGTTCAGGTGCTGCCTCCCTCTGGAATTTAGAATGGTGGGCAGAAGGGTAACGAGACTTGCAAAGGGACGGCTCAAAGGAGTAGCGCTGTTGCTTCACCAAGCTCTCTGCCTCCCACTCTCCCAGCCTGTAGTAACCACTGTTCTGCTCCCAACTTCAGTGAGATCAACTTCTGTAGATTCTAAGTGTGAGTGGTCCCATGTGGTGTTTGCCGTTCAGTGCTTGGCTTATTTCACTTCACACAGTACCGTTCATGTCCATACCCATGTCATTGCAGATTAGAGAGTTTCGTCATTTTTATGGCTGAGTAGTATTCCATTGTGCATATGTACCACATTATCCGTAATCATTTATCAAGGTGGTGGACACTTAGATCATTTCCATTTCTTGGCTACTGTAAATGGTATTGCAGTAAACATGGGAGTTCCAGTGTCTCTGACACAATGACTTTCTTTTGTCTGTGTCTAGTAAGATCACCGGATCATACGGCATCCCATTTTTAATTTTTAGAGAAACCGCCATACTTTCCCCCATGACTTAATATTTTCAATTTACAGCAGATTTATTGGACTGTAACCCTATATTGGGTTAAATAAAATCTGTTATCAAAATTAACTTTGCCCACTTCTTTTTACTTTTTTAAAGGACAGTTTAAAATTACGTCTGTGGTCACATTACATTCCTGTGGGCAGTGCTGTACAAGTCTGTGATTCCCCTCCATCGTGTCTACCTTCTCCCCTTAGTTTTTCTTCCTGATTTTCTTCTTTGCTGCATGCTCTCACTGGGCTGGTTGCCAGATGAATGAGACTGTCCCTGTTCAGGGCACCCCAGGCTAATAGAAGAAAGCTTGCTTTGAGCAGCTTGTGTGATCGATCTCCGTGATGGACTTTAGAGCTGGCAGTGTGCGTCAGCCTCTCCTCTTGGTCAGAAGCTCTTTGAGGGTGTGGTTCTGTCACGGTGACCCTTAGCCCTCCTGGGGGCTGTGAGTGGAGAGGGCCTGCCCTGTTTTCTGGAGCTGGCCCCGTGGGTCATTTACAGCAGCCCCTCAGCTCCGGTGCTACAGTTGCGCTGATGCGGTGGTTGGATTTCCAGGAACTTCTCTTGGCCGTCTTTTCTTTCAGCCCCGTCCTGAAGCACCCATCTCCCCGTGCTCCCTGGGGTCCCAGGTGCTGACACATCTTAGTGTAAAGCTCTGTTACTTCAAACCCGAGCTTCTCCAGCCCTCCGTTTCTGCGATTGGAAAGGTGGTGTTTGGAGAGCTCTTCTGTCGTCTTCTGAAAATGCACTAGGTACTTACGTGTCTTCTGCCTCTGCTCACCTCTCCCGCTCAGAGGCTCCAGGCGCGGGGCCCCGGACTCCCCACACTTTATTTTAAAAGGGCTGGAATATTTGTTTCTTTGTTAAACCCAGCACTCTGACCCAGAGGCCTTTCCTGGAGCTTGTTTTACTGTACCCGTTACGGAATGTTACAGAAGTCGGTTTCGTTTCAGTCTTTTTCCCCTGAAAGGCTGTACCCTACAACAGAACAGCAAGGCATAAGTAGGAGAGAGCCAGGAAGGGCTCTGGTTGGTCTCTGAGGGGTGTGCTGGGCGTGGTGCTGGAGGTGGGGTCCTGCCAGGGCCATCTGCACCCTCACGGCTGGCTGGCTGGACTTCTCCTTGGTGCCGCCCACCCCCAGGATTCCGCCCCCTCCTGTGCTCACTGCAGGCCTGAGTGCTTGTGGGAGTGGGAGACAGTGGAATGCCAAGAGGAGTTACAATGTTTTCTTTTCCCTATAAAGTTAACTGCCTGATCTTTCTCTTCTAAAAATTATGGACCATTGTCAAGTCACATGTTTCTTTATCTTCCTGGGGCTGAGATCAGAGCTTGAGATTCTCTCTGGGGACTTGGAGTTGTCGGAGAAAGAGCTTGCTGTGCACGTTGTCAGCCTCCTGCCCAGGACAGTGGCTTCTGGAAGCTCCCGGGTGATGTATTCGCTCCATGGTTTTGCTCATCCTTTCTGTTCCGAGGCGGCGCTGAGCAGGCCCAGCTCCCGTCAGCCTTCAGCCTCACTTCCCGTGCCGCTCTGTGGGAAGAGAGTCTGGAAATGATCGTATTTCCTTTCCTTACTTTGTGATCCTTTCTGCTAGGCACTTTATTTCCCTCCTTGGGTCTGGGGAGGCATCTTCTGATACTGAACCTGACATACTTGGAACCTGACGTATTTATTTCCTTTGTGTGACCTTCTTGAATAAACAGAAGAATTTTTGCCTTGAGCGTATTCTACCATACTAGGGTTGCCACACCGCTGACCTAGTCTACAGGGTCGCTCCTCCTCGGGTCCCTCCAACCTCACACTCGGCTCCGCGTGTAGTGCTGACCTTCTCAAGAGCCTTCTCCTCCCTTTGGCTCCGCTTTCCCTTGGAATGTCGAATGAACAGCTCTTGTTGCAGTCAGTGCACTCTATAAGGTGCTTCATGACTGTCCACGTTTTTAATTTGGGGGGGGCAAATTGTCCTTATTAATGATCTCACCTGCACGGGAGTGCCTGACAGTCTGGGCTCTACCTACACTTTCTTGCTTCAGTGCCCCGGCCTCCCGCTGCCGCTCCCTTCTGATGAAGCAAAGCTGCGGTGTCGTTTCCTGCCCGCCGCCCGCGTGCCCCCGCAAGATGTGCTGTCTCCGCTCGCGGCCTCCTCTGCGCCGCGTGAATTGTGTCCTTTGATGCGTACTGGAATAAATCTGCACGCAGGCCTTTGTGGAAGGGTGTGGAAGAAGCCAGGGCAGGGCCTGTGGACCGTGCGGCTGGGTGATTAAAACATCGGAGGGAGGGGCTGGGGATTTAGCTCAGCGGCAAAGCGCCTGCCTGGCAAGTGCAAGGTCGTGAGTTCGGTTCCCGGTACCAGAGAAAAACCAAAAAAAAAAAAAAAAACGTCGGAGGGAGGCTTGCTTTTCACTCGGCATCCTTCTGGAATTTTTTAACGACATATATGCATTTCCCATGAGGTTTTTCTGGTAAAAGTATTTAAATAAGAAAAACCCAGTCTGTAAAACATTACAAGAAAATGTATAGAGTGTGCTTATGACTTCCAAGGAGGGAAAGTGTCCCAAAACGAAACCAAACACCCAGACACCGTAAAGAAAACGGTTTTTTAAATGTGTGTGCTTGTCCTACCCCTGTTGGGCTACAAGTACCTGAAGTGCTTATTTTTATCCTTCAGAGCTCTGACACCATGACCCCATCAGAGTAATCAGTAAATAACTGTTAAAGCAAAACTAAATTGAATTGTAAGTCCTTTCTTTGTAGACTTCACTTGCTTCACTTCTACATTGAATGCTAGGTGACCTCCAGGGTCTTAGTCTAAGGTTCTGTGGATTTGTGAGATCTACAGGCAGAAATACGCAGCAGAGCAGAAGTGGGCTTAGAATCAGCAGCCCTGCCTTCCGGAGAGCCTTTTCCCCAGCTCGCCGGCCCACAGCCGCTCCGACCTGCCCCCGGGAGCTGCCCTGGTCTGCTTGGCCTGTGTCGTGCCCGGGAAGTGAGCCCTTGGACACGGGCAGTTGGAGGGGAGTTGGAGAGGTCTGTGGCGGGCTTGGCGCCCTGAACAAAAGCGGGAAGGTGGAAGTGTGAAGCATTTTGTCGAGCAGCTCTATGAACGGGTATCTGCCCCCACTTGTCTCCAGTGTGGGACCCTGAGCCAGGTGGCCAGGTCAGAGCCTTGTCCTTCGGGAGGATGCAGCTCACGATGGGGAGAGACAAGTGCCGGCACTGTGGGTCAGAGAGTGCACAGTGCCTGGGGACGTGGGGAGCCTCCCAGGAAACCCCCTCTGAGGCCGAAAACACACGTTTTTATTACACTGTGGAATTCCTCCTGGCATTGATGTCAGAAGCAAGCCTTATATTTGCCCTTCACTGTTCTGCAGGATTTTACCTCCTCTCACTCTCTGTGTCAGGAGGTTTTATTAGAATCATGTCTCAGGCCGGGCGTGGTGGCGCACACCTGTAATCCCAGCACTCGGGAGGCTGAGGCAGGAGGATCGTTTTTTGAGTTCAAGACCAGCCTGGGTTACAAAATGAGCTCAAGGCCAGCTTGAACTGCGTAGCGAGACCCTGCCTCAGATTAAAAAAAAAAAAAAGAAAATAAGAGTGATGTCTCAGTTGCAGTAGGTTGAAAATGTTGTCCGAGTCTCCTGTGTAGCATGGGGGCCGCTCTCCGAAGGTGTGGAAGGGAGGGGAGATGGTGCGAGTGGCCAGACTTCCCTCGCTGCCAGCGATGGCCTAAACTGCAGGCTTTGTCTGGGCCGCAGCCTTTCCAAGAGTTGGCTCCTTGCCGTTCATGTGTTCCTGTCAGGTGAAACGGAGAGCCTGCAAGTTTCACCATGGTACCACCACCCTCTCTGTCTTTGCAGTGTGTCCCCTGCCCCCGGGGCCAGAAAATGGTGGCTACATCTGCCACCCCAAGCCCTGCAGAGACCCCCTGGCCGCAGGCAGCGTCGTGGAGTACCTGTGTGCGGAAGGCTACATGCTAAAGGGGGACTACAAGTACCTGACGTGTAAGGATGGCGAGTGGAAGCCGGCCATGGAGATCAGCTGCCGTCTCAACGAGGGTCAGTCTGAACCTGGGGGGCTTGCCCTGGGCTTCTGCTCTCTGTCACCCCCGGGAAGTGGTGCTGCAAAGCGCCCTGAGCTGTGCTGTGCGGAGCCGTGTTTGCCCTGCAGCCTTCCTTTGGGAGTTGGTGTCTGTGGAAGACATTGGGGTTACTGGTGCGTGTCCCATTGTGTTCCCCTGAGTCGCAGAGCTCAGAGTCTGGCTCCCAGAGCTTCACGGAGGCGTCTGACCTTCGGGATCTCGCTGGCCTAGCTCGGAGCTGGTGACCTTTGGCCGTCCTGCGGCTGGCACAGTGAGCGTAATGCTGGCACCTTCTGTAGTGGCTCTTTCCTCTCACTTTTCCTCGAGTGGAAATGGACTGTTTTGTTACGGAGCTACAGTCCAGCTGGACAGGAGCCCCCTCTTCCCTCCTGCCTGCTCCTGTCTTGCACGACTGGAAAATCCAGCTGCCTCAAGGGAAGCATGTGTCATGTGGTCATTTTTGTACTGCATACTTTGGCTTCAAGACCTGAGCATGTTTAACCAGTGACACCCCAGAGAAGAGTAGGAACCAGTCTGAGATCCACAGCCACGGCTGCAGGACTTCAGGGTTGTCCCTTCACGGACTCAGACGGTGGAAAGATGTTCCTGTCCACGGTTGATGTTTGCCAGCCTCCTACTGAGGGTGGGACCCGAGTGGTTTATAGAGACAAGATACCCTGGGTTAGTGAGTTGGCTATCAGATGGACCTCAGGGGCTGGCGGCGAGGGGAATATTTTATTTAAGAAACAGGAAGGGGAAGTGGTCCCTTTCCTGGAGCACCGTGTGTACACTGGCCGCTCCACGCCGCTTTCCTGAAGAGGCCCTGCCGCAGGGTGACTCTCTGGGTGGCACCAGGCAAGGGCATTTGACTGCGTCAGTTGTGGGGCCTGTGTCTGGGTATCGAGTTCTGATGAAAGCTTGTGTCCATAGACAAAGAAACCCACACGTCACTTGGAGTCCCCACGCTGTCCATAGTGGCTTCCACTGCCAGCTCCGTGGCACTCATTCTCCTCCTCGTGGTGCTGTTCGTGCTGCTGCAGCCAAAGCTGAAGTCTTTCCATCACAGCAGGTAAGCCAGGAGCCGCGCTGGTGTGGGGCAGGCAGCAGGCACTACTGTGGGGCTCGCCTTTGCCCGGCTGGGAGAAGCCGGTAGCCTACGGCTTCTTCTGTCTGTGTGTCCCAGGGAACGGGCAGGGGCGAGCCCTGCTGTGTGGTAAACCTGCGGGTGTGCCTGGTTGCTTTGCACACATTAGCAGAGCTGACGTTTGAACCCAGATCTTTTCAACTGCAAAGCCATGTCATTTCCGTCATCGGTGCTTCTCGGATTATGGTTCCAGGAGCATGAACATCCCTGGGAATTGTTAGGCACGCACATTTCCAGCCCTCGCTTCTGACCCCTGAAGCTCTGGGGCTAGGGCTCAGTAGTGGGGGTCCCACGTACCTTCATGTGATGCCAGTGCGCGCACACCAATGCGTGGAAGGTCAAAAAAGCCCCAGATTCTGTAAAATGCCCCAGGTTTGGAACTTACGGGCAAGGAGCAGCCTAAATTTAATCTCTCTATACTAGTTTTATTTCCCCTCAAGGTAACTGGTAAGTTCATTTCTATTTGTTTAATTTTTTTTACTAGTAAGTTTATTAAAAGTAACTACCTGATTCTCGGTTGCCTGACTTAGGTAGAAGGGAGATCGATTTTCACTATGGATGCCACTTACATTTTGCACCATGTGTTTGTATTACTTTTTAAACAACAACATAAGATTTATTTTGAATAACAGAAAGTACGCACACGCCAGTGTAGGCGCTGCTTTCTCTGCTACCTTGTCAGGGTTTCCCTCCTTCCCGAAACCTCCACACACTTCCTGAGGCACCGCTCTTCCATCCTCACAGTGTGTACATTATTTGTATTAGGTGGCGCAGGTTTTTACCTCCAAGTATAGGTAAGGAAAGGAGAGTTCTGTTTTTTGAGACAGGGTCTTGCTGTGTTATCCAGGCTGGCCTTGAACTCACTGATCCTCCTGCCTCAGCCTCCTGAGTGCTGAGATTACAGGCACGCACCACCATGCCCAGCAAGAGCTCTTAACAGTAGTTGAACCACAGTAGTATGTTCTGACAGTAGACTGGTCTGTGCCCTGATGTAACGAGCTGAAAGGGTACCATCACTTGTAGCATTCTTGGCAAAAATTGACCTGAATCCAATCCTGAGGAAACAGTCACACATCCAGATTGTGGGTCATCCCACAGCGGGCCTGGAATCTTTTTAAAATGCCAGTGTCATAAAAGAAAAATGAGAGCAGGCTGTTTCAGATGAACAGAGATGAAAGGGATCAGACAGCTAAATGCACTGCATGATCCTTTACTGGATTCCGGGTGAAAACAAAGACTGCAGATGAAATGTGTACTGTATTTGGATGGTCTTGGAAACTTGTATGATCATAGTGTTACATTCCTGCGATGTAATGAGGCTGGGGTTAGTAGGAGTGGAAGTGCTGAGGAGGGACATCTATGTAATATCTTAACCCTGCTTTCCTATGGCTCATGAAGAAAGAAGTGTGTGTGTAGCAGAAATGATCCCCCAAAAGGGGTCTGTGGGAATAAACCTTCCAAAATGGGTAAAATAAGCAGAAACATTCGCTCTGTCTGCATACACATTCATTGTGAATCTCATTCATACGTGTAGATCAGAACTGTGCAGGACACCGTGGCATTACGGGGTTCATATTTAGGTGGTAAAACTGTCAGAATACAATGCAGAAGTAGTGGTTTCCATGCAGTCAGCACAGTGGTCCCCTGTAGGGAGGAGCAGGAGTGACGGGACAGGTGCAAGGAGGTATCAGCGTGTAGCAGGGTGAGATTCCTGGCCCGGGTAGGAGTCTTACACCAGTGTCACCCTTGGAGCAAACCAGCGAGCTCTGTCCATTTGTCTATGCATTCCTGACTGTATTTATATAATAATTCACAGAGGTTTTTTTTTTTTTAAGTTTATGAAGTTTTAAGCAAAGTGGCTGAGTTCAGAACAAAGTTCTTCTGACCTCCCTTCCAGACTCCTGTTTCAGGACCATAGTGTGCCTGCTCCTTTATCTGCCTAAGTCTGTGGAGATACAATTCATCCACCGCGGAGTTCCCCGGGAAGGTGCACAGTGAGGTGGTTGTAGCATACTCTCCGTGTGCCTCTGCCGCTCTTGCTCTCGTCCTCGCTGAGCTGCATGGATGGCTCCGTTGCTAGTCTCTAGGCCTCTCGCTTTTGCACAGAAGCCCAGAGCCTGTGTACCCACAAGTTAAGGGCGTCTCCCTGGCAGCAGCTGGACCTGGGTTCACGTCCTACGTCCATCCCTCACCAGCTCTGTGACAGTGGCGAGTTCCTGAACTTCTGGGCCTCATCTGCAGGCCTCATGCGTCCCTGTCTGAAGGGGTCAGGTGAGGGGTCAGTGTGGCCAGGTGTTCTCAGCACTGAGCGCTGGGCCCGGCACGTAGGTCAGTGCTCAGAAACGATGACTTAGCGGGGCGTGCTGGCGCATGCCTCTAATCCCAGCACCCCAGAAGGCCTAGGCAGGAGGATCACAAGTTTGAGCCCAGTCTGGGCAATTTAGCAGTTTAGACCTTTCTCAAAATAAAAAAATAAAAGGGGGCTGGGGATGTCCCAGTGTCCTGGGTTCAACTTCAGTCATAAAGGTGGAAAAGAAAAGGTGGCTTTTGTTGGTATAATGGTATTTATTTATCTGTGTTCCTTCTGATTGTTTGTCTTTTCCTCCCATCCAGGCGTGACCAAGGGGTGTCTGGGGACCAGGTCTCCATCATGGTGGATGGGGTGCAGGTTGCACTGCCTTCATACGAGGAGGCTGTGTACGGCAGTTCCGGTCACTGCATGCCGCCCGCAGACCCCAGAGTGCCCATCGTGCTGTCAGAAGGGGCTGGGCCCAGTGGCAGGGGCCTGCCAAGGGAGCAGCAGGGCCAGGCGGCCTGCTCTTCTGCGGGTGGGGAGGAAGAGGCCCCGGGCCAGTCGGGACTGTGTGAAGCCTGGGGCTCCCAGGGCTCAGAGACTGTGATGGTGCATCAAGCCACCACCTCTTCCTGGGTGGCTGGCTCAGGGGGCAGCCGGCCGGCACACAGAGAAGCCACAGATTCGGAGAACAGCGACATACAAAGCCTTTTGTCCCTCACATCAGAGGAGTACACAGATGGTAGGTGGTCTGTGATGAACAGGAATTATTAGCCGTTTGGAGCCTTTGCTGGGAGTGAGGAAGGATGGTGGGCCTTTCTGGTAATTGGTGTGCTTTTGGCAAAGAAAGATAATCCCCGGGATATTAGCCTATGAAACAGGCTTTCACCTTTAGAGCACCAGGTAGGCCCTTGGGCTCGCAGTAGTGACTTTTCACTGTTGGTGAATGTTGATGGTTTGGAGTCTTGGAGACTATACATGGCCACAGGGCAGTGCTAAGTAAAAGATGGACTGTTGAGTAGGGTTGGGCAGTCCTATACTTACAGTTTTTATGTCCCTGGAAGGTCGGGAATGACAAGGAGACCTGGCTATATCAGAGAGAGAGCAGGAGCTGTCTCCTTCAGAGCGGACAGCTGCGTCACTCCAAGCAGGGCTGTGCCGGGTACTGCACTCATTAGTTTCCGTGTGCCGCTCAGTTCACCCTCACAGCGATCCTGAATGTAGCTGTTTATTACTGTCCCCATGCGGGGAAACTGAGGCCCAAAGCGGGGGAGTCACTTGCCCGCTGGTGATTGAGCTGGGGTTTGAAGTGACGACTTCTGCGCTGCCTCCCGGGTGACTCCAACTCGTGTGGTGAACTGGCCATAGAGTGACATTTCTGCCCCCTGACACTGCTGCCTTTGCTGCAGCCTGCAGAGTTTAATCTCGGGTATGGCTCTGTCACTTTAAAAAATTTGTTTAAGTGAAATCCCGGTGTAGTTCAGGATAGAGGCTAAACCCAGAAGCTTCCCTTCCCACAGTGATGCCTTCTGCACTCAGCCTCCCTGAAGAGTCTCAGAAGGACGTCCTGCCTCCTGTTGTGCTGGGCACCAGGGTGAAAGTTCACGAATGCAGAGCATGCTTTGCCACCTTTTTTCTCCGTTGGTACAGCGATGGCAAGGGAGCTGAATAGTTGCCCCAGGTTTGGGTGTGGAAACCAGTGGCCCGTGGGCCGTTAGTGCTGTGTTATAAGACATGTCTGGGGGCAGATAGCAGCCCTCGCCCCCGGGAAGGAGCCGGGGATGCACGCTGCTCTGATGAACAAGCGTCTCAGAGCCCAGCCTGTGCTGCAGCTGAAGTAGGCTTCAGGAGTGACACAAAGAAGTAGGGAAGGTGTTCTCTGCTGCGTGGGCTGTCAGCTGGAAAGGACGGGCCCACGGTGTAGGAACTGTGTAACGGAAGCAGGAATTGTGGAGCTCGTTAAAGTAAGGGGCTCACAAAGCAGTGCATGTGAGCTGGGTGTGTGGCAGGCCAGGCCAGAGCTGACCAGGACTGTGAGCGGAGGCCAGAGTGTGGCCTGTGTCTAAACCCTCTGCCCCCACTGACCCCAAGACCGAAACCCAGAGAGCAGACGTGATTTGTGCGGTGTCACACAGACGTGATTTGGCAGATAGCTGGCTTTGAGGAGAAGGTGAGCTTCAGCAGGGCTTCGTGGCCTCATAGGGCAGGGTCAGGAGAGAAACGGAAGTGGCGCGGCCAGCAGAGTGAAGAGAGCGGGCGTGTGCTGGCCGGCCAGAAGAGGTATGAGTACCAGGCTGAGTGCTCAGACCTTAGCACAAAGATGGGGAGAGATGAGCTAGAGGCCTAAAGCAGCAGGGAACTTCCGACTCCCGGAACGTGTGCAAGTGGGGCGTGTGTCTGCGTGCTGGGGCCTGCGGTGCGGTCTGGAGTGTCGTGGGGAGCCCCTCTGTAACCGCTGTGCTTGCCCTCCTGTCCTCCCGCAGATATCCCGCTGTTGAAAGAAGCGTGAGGGCTGCGGCCAGCCTCTCTCCTCTCTGAAGGTCTTCTCCACCCTTCCTCGCGCTCCCCGTGGGTTTGAGCACCCTGCACTCCAGCCACCCCACCCGGATACCTGAGCTGCCACCTGTTTATCGGTGTGTCTCTGAGGGCCTGCAGGCCACCTCACTGGAAACTCAAGGAAGATTCTCGCCATCTGCTTGGACAGCTGGAGCAGCTGGCTCTTTGCCTGGCCCAGTCTTCCCGTCTTTTGGGATGTATTTGAATGTGCTGGATCGAACCCTTCCTTTCCCTGAGCCTCTGAGCCCCTTCCAGCCCGCACCGTGGTGGCAGCCCCGCAGCCCGCGTGGGGCTGGGCGCCACCGTGCTCACTTGTGCCTTCCCCAGCCCCGCCTCGTCTCCCTGCCGCGCAGGCCTGCCGCTGTCCACAGCCTTCGTGGCTGCTGCCCCTGCCCTCACAGGAGCTGAGCTAAGAGTGAGAGAGCCTCTGAGGCACGAGAGGCTTTCACTGGGGCAGATGTGGGGCCCTGGGTTGACATGGTGGCACGTTTCCTTGGCTGAGAATAGAGAATTTGGAAAATCATGCCAAAGCCATCCCAGCACCTGTCCAGCTCAGGTGCAGGCTGCTGGCCCTGTGCAGAGTTTCCAAGAAGCATCCCGAAGATGCTGAGGGAGGGAAAGAAGATGACTGGTGATGACTGTCTTCCTAATATGCAAGTTCTCACTCCGTACTTCCAGCGTTGCACCTTGGCCTTGGTCTTTTCGTTCCCTGGATGCGGGGAGTTGCATGCCGCCTCCTGGGCTTCATCCCAGGCAGCTCTGGCTGCTTTGCTGCCCACAGGGCCTGAGGCACATCATCCCAGGAGTTCTGAGATGCCATCCAACACTCACCTGGTCACTGGCAGTCTGGGCAAGGTGCCGCTTTCTGGGTTTGTGGTGACGGAGGGGAGGCCGAGAGGCACAGTTCCCAGGCAGCTGCAGGCAGCTCCAGCCTGGCCCTGAGGGTCCTCCTCACCGCGGTCATGTGCCTTAGTAACTGTGCCCAGGAAGTGGCCTGCTGCCTGCTGCACCTCTGCTTTTCCTGCTTCTGCTCTTCCCGGTGCCCTGCACACGTCGTGGCTGACAAGCCGTTCCTGTCTTCCCTGCCCTCTGGGGGAGGAGCTGAGAAAGGGTCCACAGCACCCCTTGCCTTACTGACCGAGGTGGGCAAACGGGTGCCCCCAGCCTGGCTCCCGGGTCCCTCTAGATGGAAGCCGGGGGTGTGGATGCTGGAGGGAAGCCACAGCAATGGGGCGCTCTGGGCGTCTCCCCCGCGCCCCCTCGGCGCTGCGGTGAGTGTGGGAAGGCTGGGCAGACGAGCTCCACTGGGCTGCTACCTTCTGGCGACAGACGTGGCATTAAGGAATGTTTGCTTTTGCTTTTTTTTTTCCCCCTGATACACTGGGGCTGGGAAACCTCGCCGCTCACTCTGCTGCACCTCTGCTCCTCCCGAGCAGCTCTGGTGTGGTAAAAATAATACAAAGCCCGGTTCAGGACCTGACCTAACAGGGTTAGCTCCAGGCACGGGTGGCCTGAAGCTGGGGGAAGGGGCTTCTCCCCCCGCCCCCCGCCACCCCTCTGCCTCGTTCTCACAACGCACTTTACTCCCTGGTCATGCCTGGCCTCCTGCTGCCCCTCATCTTCTTTCCTCTCAGGGTAAGGGCAGTGCCCGTTGTGCCTGCTGGCCGCTCCCACACGTCCCAGTCACCCCGCAGCCCCTCTGTTGTGCTCAGAATCAGGCAGGCGAAGTCAGGTAGGGAACGGGTTGGAGAAGGTGCCAGAGTGGAAGGCTGAGCCTGAGGGAGGAGAGACCTGTCTCAGCAGTTGCTGGCATGGACCCCGCAGAGGGGTCCGAAGGCCTGGCTGCCTTCCCACGCGGACCCTCCTTGAGGCGCACCTGTACCCTTGCCCCCTCTAGGACAGGGCCCGTGAGAAGTGGGAAGGCGAGGCTGGAGTCTCAGAGCTGAGCCTTTGCTTTTATCTTCCACCCTTCCGAAACCTGAATTCTGTTCTAGCACATTTGGTAAATAGAAGAGCCTGCCCTTTTCTGGGTAGTTGCTCTGGGGTCTTGTCCACTCAGAGGTTGCACTTTTATTTCAGGTTTTCTCCGCTGATGGCTCCTTCCTTCTCACCCCGAGTCCACGCTGCCGGGGTCCACAACCCAGGCCTGCCCACCGGCTAGGAGAGTGGGAGGGGAGCACTGCGGGCTTGTGCTCCCGGCTCGGAGGGGGCCCCTGGGCGGCTTAGAGCAGGCCCTGCAGCGGCCCCTGGCGAGCAGGCGCTTGCGGCTGCCTCTTCCGCAGCTCTTTCCCTGAGACAGCCTCTTCCTCCTCAGCCACGTGCTGCTGTTGTGGGGCTTCTGAGCTTTGTTCCTTGCAGAGGGACCGGGGACCCCTCAGCCGCTTCGGTGTGGGGCTTAGCTAGAGACAGGGCGGGTGGCAGGCGGCAGGCTGCAAGCAGGCAGGCCACCCGGGGCCCAGAGCCCACAGCGCTGAGCCCGGAGCCGGTGGCCCTGCTTGCCCGGGCCCACCTCCCATGGTGCCTGCAGTGCAAAGTCCCGTCCACAAGGGGTCGGCACCAAAGGACTTTTAGAAAGGATTCTTTGCCGTTTTCTTTTTCTTTCTTCCTTTTGCTTTTTTCTGCTCTTGAGCTGGCTCAGTGCAGGTTTTTTTGTTTTTGTTTTTTGTTTTTAAATCCTGGTGACATTCTTGCAACTTGGAAGGGCCAGCATCTGGTGAAAGTCACTCACTGTGTCCGTCTCTCTCATGCCTTAGCCTGGCAGGTGGGCTCTGTCTTAGCCATTTCTGGGTTTTATGTGCTGCATTTCACTGGGTGTGAACTGTGAAGTGGCTGAGTCCTGGCCACTGTGAGTTTGTTCGGCTTCGTAAGACATTTCAGCGCACATTCTACAAGCACTCCACTTGCAAAAAGAACTTAGGGTTAGTATCTTCCCCGTTCATCTTGCCCTCCTCCTCCCACCCCCAGCTTTAACGTTCTGTGGAGAAGCCAGGTAGCAAGACAGACAAAGGTATGCTCTTCCTGCTTCGTGTGCAGCGGCACAAGGACAGACGGCTCCCAGCCCCTCCCTCCCAGACCGCTGGCTTGCTGAGGGCCTCTGTTGGCCTCGTGTGTGGGAACGGCCCTTGCAGAGGAACGTACTGCAGACGTGTCTTGATCCTTGCTTCCCTCCCGCTTTCCCTTCCCTCCTCGGAGAGCAGCAAGGGGCTAGAGAGGAGGTGGCGCACAGCCCTCCCGGCTTACAGTAAGTCCAGATGTGCTTGCCAAGGTTGCCGAGCTGGGGGCTCTCTCCCGAGGCCGCTGGGTCTCCTGCAGGCTTGGGGAATGTTTGGCTTGGCAGATGTTTGGACTGAATCTTGCAGTAGCTGGCTCCCTGGAGAGAGAAGGTGGCAGGCACAGCTCTGCTGGGAAGTGTCTCTCAATTTCCTTGAAACTCTAGTAGAATTTGAACAAAACCCTCAGTGTTGAGCCGTCTGCCAAGCAGCCCGGCTAGTGGGGAGCGCGGGGGCAAAGCGCTTGGATTGGATTGCCCGGCGGGAGGAGGGATGGTCTGGGGTCACGGGGCAGCGCCCACACCTGCCCTGGCTTCTTAAAGTTGTCACACCACTCTGGGGTCTTCTGCAGAATGGTACTCGCGTCATGGTTTGTAACAACACGCGCGTAATTGACTCTGCAGGATGTCATTCATCAGTTTGGGTTTGCTTTATTTTATATATATATTTTTTGGTATCCTGTACATTGCAGCGGGTGTGAAGATAGTATTTTAATATTTGTACAAAGTTTAATTTAATTTTAATTGTTCTATGTATATAACTGCATTTCTAAATAATAATAATAAAAAATTCTTATGAAGGTAGTTGTGAGAGATGTGATCCTTTCAGAAAGGTTTTGCAGAAACCCTGGATCAAAAAGAGCATCTGTGGCCGGACATGGTGGCGCCCGCCCGTAATCCCAGCACTCGGGAGGCTGAGACAGGAGGATTGCTGTGAGTTTGAGGCCAGTCTGGGCTACAAAGTGAGCTCAAGGCCGGTCTGAACTGCACAGCCAGACCCTGTCTCAAACAGACAAGAAAAAGCAAAATGTCGTCAGTGGAAATCTTTGCCTCTTTGTCGGTCAGGAGCTCACAGAGTGCCAGCACTGTGAGGTGGGCATTGTGATTTGGCCTGGAGGGAGTGTCCAAGGTGCAGGGAGGGTAGACCAGTGTGGAGGCACAGTGACTGATCCAGTCCTGACTGGGTAAGGTACGGGGGCAGGCAGAGCATGCCTCTGGGATGAAGTGGCTTTGAAGCTGTAGTGTGAGGGCCAGGAAGCGCGGTCAGTGGCAGGACACCATCCCTGTGTAGGTGCAGAGGGAGCAGACAGCACACTGAGTTTAAGAAGCCAGGAGCGGGGTGTGGAAGCACAGTGCGTGCCTGTTCTCCCAGCTCTCTGGGAGGCCAAGGCAGGAGGATCGAAAGTTTGAGCCCAGCCTGGGCAGTTGAATGATTCAGCAAGGCCCTCTTTTTTTTGGTACCAGAAGTTGAACTCAGGACCTTGCTCTCGCCAGGCAGGCAAGCTCAGCTGTACTGCTGAGCTATATGCCCGGCCCAAGGCCCTCTCTCAAAATAATTAAAAAAAAAAAAAAAATGGAAGAAAGGCCTTAGCGCAGTGTGAAGCGCCTGGGCTCAGTCCCCAGTGCTGAAGGTAGACGCTCAGCAGGCCGAGGGGAGGGCGCGGAGCGAGCCGGGGCAGAGGCTCCCTCTCCTCCCAGCCGCGGGCGCTGTGACTAGAAAACCACACCAACACTGTTTCAATTAACTTTGTTTTTGTTTCTCTTGAAGTTTTAAAAAAATGTTTGGTTATTCTTCATCAGAAAAGCATCTTGAGGATGGTGAAGAAGTCCAGGTTTGAGATGGAAAGCGAGAAGAGTGATTTTCCTTCCTAGTTCAGAGTATTCACACGCACGCACACGCACACCACAGCGGACTGCTAGCTCTTCGCAGTGGCTTCAGGGACCTGTGTGTCTGCAAAACCCGCAAGCTTCCAAGGATCAGGAAGGATCCTGTCACCCCGCGGCCTTGAGACGGCTTCTGATCACTAACAGCCTTCCCGGCAGATCGTCATTTCTGCCCCGTGAAGGGAAAGCGTGTTTCGGACTTGCGTGTTAAGAAACTGGGAAAATTTCTTGGGAAAATTAGCTGAGGTTGGGGTTGGGCTTTAGAAAATAAGGGGGTGTCGCCAAAGCATAACGGGCTGGGTGGGTGGGGGGTTGCTTGGTTGAGGGCGGGAACAAGAAAGGGAGCCGAAGCGGGCGGATGCCACTCGGGTGTCCGTGCCGGTGGAGCGTCTGGGTGATGCTCCGGGGGAGAGCAGGACCTGCGCGAGACGGGGAGAGGTAAGCGCTGCGGTGACGGCTCCCAGGGCACGAAGGGCTTGCGGAAGAAAGCGGTGAAGCCGCGCAGGTGAAGTGAGGACGGTTCTGTAGCAGCAGCGGGTGCCGCAGGGCATTCAGTGGACGGGGGAGGCTGGCGAGCCTGATCTCGGCGAGACGCGCTGCGGATGCTTTCGGGGAAGCCAGAAGCAAGGCAGTTGGCGGGGCCGCGCGTGCTGAGCCCTAGGGACCGGGCCGCTCGCAGGCCGCTGGCCTGTGGCAGCTCCTCCAGTCTCGCAGATGAAACAACAGGCTCGAAAGCCATTACCGCAGCTGCGGCACGAGGTCACGTGGCTCTGGGATGGCGGGGAGTGGGATGCCGCCGTGACTCGTAGGCCGGTGTCTCCGCGGCTGCTTCAGAGAGCACGGCCCACACCATGCGGACTTCCTCAGGATGCAAGAGCAGAAGCCGGCTGGCAGGACCACAGCACCCCGCTGAAGACCAGCGCTCTCCGGTGGCTGCCAGGACTTGGTTTTCTTCCTCGGAACCCACCTGCGTCTCACTGGGGCGTTCAGAGCAGGAGAGACAGTCAGCCACAAGCCCTCGGTTACCATTCCAGAGTGCGCCCTCTGACAGAACACCGATGCGCCGGGCTAATCAGAGCTGGGCTGAAACGTCCACGGTCCGGGCTGGGTGTGTGTCCCACGTGTCAGCAGGTCTGCTCAGCACTGGGCTCTCCACCCGCTCCTCCGACCCTCCCTCTGGGTCCCGAGGGCCTGCTGTGCTGCCCGTTGTCCCCCGGGAGGGTGGAGGGGCGGAAGGACACGCGAGCATGACTCCTTGGGCAAGTTCCAAGAGGCGCTCTTAGCAGAGACCAGATGACCCCTGGTGCTCGGGGACGCTTCACTCGCTGGTGGCTGCTTCGGACAAGGGCCCAGGCGGCGGCAAGCAGCGCCCTGGCATGGGGAGAAGGCCTCCCAGGGGCCAACAGCTGGGCGGTACTTTGATTTTGACGCTTCCCCTTCCCCAGGTAGCGCTCTGGCAGGGAGCTGGGGCCGTCTGCAGCCTGTGCGATGCAGGGAAGGGCCTGGGTGGAGGGAGCCTCGGGGTGGGGGCGGGGGCGCAGGCTGCCGCTCTCCCTTGTGCTGCAGATTCTGCTGCTCCAGAGGGAGGAGAGGAGGGAACGGAGGCTCTGGTAGCCAGAGGCAGGCCCGGAGACCCTGCCCTCCAGGTGTGCCCACTAGCTAGAAGCAAATGCCCTGTTTCCGCTTGCCTTGGACTGAGAAGAAGGGCCCCCGCGGAGATTCTGGGCGGCCCAGCCCATAGCAGGAAGGCCTGGGAAGAGGGTGTCGGCCCTGCTCACACGGCCAGGACACCCGGCTGCCCGAGTCAGCTCTGCCTTCAGGATGAGAGGCAGCTCCGAGGGCAGCTGTACCCCAAGAGGGACAGTGATTGAGGAGGATAGTGTGAGCCGTCACAGGGCATTTGACATGCTCCTCTCCTCCCTGATACATGCTGGGCACCCAGGCGGCTGGGCGAGGTGCCGTAAAGGTAGTATTTTATTCTGTCAACTCGGCCATTCTTGTGTTGCTGTCGTTGTCTTTGACACAGGGTCTCGCTATGCAGTTCAGGCTGGCCTTCAATTCACTGTGTAGCCCAGACTGGCCTCGAACTCAGTGATCCTCCTGCCTCAGCCTCCCGAGTGAACTCAGCCATTCTGAAAGACAAATGTCGTCCCCCACAATGCTGCATTTTGCAGGTGAAGAAAGCTCAGAGAGGTTCCAGTGTAGCCCAAGACCACGCAGGTGGAGGACAGTCACCCAAGCCGGGCTGTGAATCCTATGCCGTCCTGAACTCCCAGCCCTCCCTGCTCTCCAGTTCACTTCTGTATGCCCCACTTTCCTTCCCTAGCTTTCTGGGTCCTACTGCCGGAAGTATCTTCCCGAGCACCTGACCCTGTCCTACCTGCTGTCCTGCCCAGTAATCCCCCCCAGTGCCAAAGACAGGATGCCAACCCACGGAGAGCACCTCCCTAGTCTTGGGTGCCTAGCTGTGCCCCAGCTAGGGATGGGTTCTGGGCCTGGCAAGTTCAGAGCAACCGAGATGCAGGCAGCTGCTGTGCTCCTTTGGGCTTCACTTGGAACAGGGGTTGTTGTGTTCCGAGCTTCTCCCGCCTCCCCTCAGGGTCTCCAGCTGGAGGACTTGCCAGGCTTTCCGCTGTCAGTCACTACACCGTTTCATCAGACGGTGAACCTGGGGTGAGCCGT